ACGGGTGTGCCATTGACCCATGTTCTGCTCTCTTCGGCTGTTTCTGGGAGTCATTTGAGTCACTTTAGGTAATGGGGCCTGGAGAAAGGCCCATCGTATTGGCAAGCCAATGAAGGGGTTATTTGGAACCAAGGCAGCTCCCGGCCCACTGCCATAAGTAAGGGGTCAGCTTGTCTAATGTCTCATCTCAGACATGGCCTAGGGACACCAACCCCTTACTCTCAGCTCTTTTGCCCCTGCCTCCAATTCCCCCTCTCCACAGTTCCCACCCCATATTCTTGAGAGATTCTGAGTGACTCTGGGATTTGGGACAGATGTTCTGAGCTAAAACAGTCCTCTGGGCCTTTCCCACATGTAAGGAAGTGGGCTCAGCACACTCCTTGATCAATTTATCAAATGTCACAGCCTTACCACATTACTTGGCAAAGTCAAATCGGCACTGGTGACAGGATACCGAACAGATTCAAAGAGCAGTAACTATTGCCACAGGGAAAAGAATTCTGCACAAAGTGAATTCTCTTTTGATGTGAACAGAAGTGACATGTGTTAAAGGATGGAGGGGCCAAGAAGGAGGGGAAGGGTTTGGCGAGGCCAGGAATGTGCAGTTACAAAAAGAAGGAAGGGGGTAGTGCTGGGACAGTCCCTATGGGCTTGGTAACTGATGGTAATCAAAGTAGGCTACTCTTGTTGGACAGGTGCTGGGGATAGAGGTCTTATGTAGATGAAAGTTTCTGTCCATTGGGGACCACATGTAGATGGAAGTTTCTGTCCGGCCAGTCCCATAGCTGTTTAGTCCCCAATAAACACATAGTGGCTTATATTAATTATAAACTGTTTGGCCAATGGCTCAGGCTTCTTACTGGCTAGCTCTCTCTTAATTATTAACCCATTTCTATCAATCTGTGTGTCTCCATGTGGTCTTGACTTACTGGTGATGCCTGTATCTCTTGCTTCTTCAGCAACTACAGTCTTGCTATTAGTGCTCCCTTGGGAGACCTTGAGCCTGCTTCAGGAACTTACTGTTGGCTCTGACAGCACCTTTAAGCTGGGTTGTGGTGATTCTGAGGTATTGGCTTAGAGTTGTTGGAAATGATATCTATGTCTTCTTGAAGTCCGTTTAGGCCAAGTTTGAAGTCTAGTTAGGAGAAGGGTTCAAAGGGGCCTAGCTTGGCTTTCACCAAGAAGAGACTTTTTGCCACTGAACCTTTCATCAGGCTGGGAAATGACGGTGGCAGTGAAGGAGTGAGGGAGATGGTCTCATGTGTCAGATCCAAAAGGTCACTAGCTACATGTCTTGATGGGCCCTGCCCAGACACGCTCCCCTCCTCCCTACCTGGACTGCTGCCTCAGATGCACAATGACCATGCTTAGCAGGGCTGACCTAGGATGGCCTCACACCAAAAATGATGGGATCATACACCTGTGTCCCTGTCTCTAGCTGGCTGGGCCCTGAAAGTTAAGATGGGTACAAGAGAAGGACAGGAGTCTTGAGGTGCTCAGATGGGCTTTCTGGTCCTTCTCACTCATGAAGGCTTGTGTCCACCCATGCAGCCCTGCCCATCAAAAACTGTTTAGTACTCAAAGCTAGCCTGGACCAACACTGAGCATCCAGGGCTGTCATTGCAAGGGGAATAGTGCAAACACATGTAGCCTGAGAAGGAGAGCTTCCTAGAGCAATCTCAACCCTCTGGTCTAAGGAATGCCAACCCCAGCCTTGGGTCTCCAGACTTAACTGACACCAGCTTCCCTTGGTGGGATGACCCAGCACTGGAAGTGAAGGAAAGAGGGACTCTGGGAAGAGGGAGGCCTGGCCTCCCAGAAACAGCTCAATCTGTTTCCTCATCTCTGCATGGGCATGGGGCACCCTGAGGTCCTCTCCTTCACGTCATTTGGTTTGCCTGAGTGACTCAGGATGGAAGACCATGCTTTTGTTTCCACAGTCCTTTGGAATGTGCTTGGGAGTTCCAGAGGTGCATCAGGATAGAGAACTAAGTGAGCAATTGGAAATACATATACTGACCTATTATAAGAAATGAATAAGTAATGCACAGGGCAGGGACCGACTCACCAGGCTTTCTTCCAGTGCTGGGGCTGGTGTGTCCTTCCCCTGCCTAATGTAGCAACACATTCACTTCCACATTACTCAGCAAACCTGTGCCCCGAAAGGGTGTTGCAGTCATCACAGTTCACTCATAAGACTCAGGGGGAGCTGGTGTGTTTCTCTGAATTTCTAGCAACATGTGATAGCCCCAGGGTAATTAAAGTAACTTTCCCAAGTTTCTGTTCTGTCATCATTGTAAGGTGGATTAGCAGGCCCTGCTCAGATCTCAGGAAGAGTGGGTGACTCTGAGAGAGAAGAGAGAGCATGGCACTGGCCCTAGGTTAAGTACCCAGTGCAGACCCCAGCTCTCCGACTCACAGGAATGGCTTGGATGAGTCACATCACCTCTCCAGGCCTCTGGTCCTTTGTGTGTCACGTGAAGGCTTTATGCTACCTCAAAGTCTTGACCAGCTGGCAAATCCCATGCTTTTCTGTCATTTGTGATGATTGGAAAAGCCCAACGATTGCATCACCATTAACTAAAATAGCTCCATGTGCTACGTGACAGGACATCCACAGCCCACAGCTAAGCTGCCCCAAGCCTCGAGAAATGCAGAACTTCACAGTCCAGACCCACTCGTTTCTCCATGGCCTGACTCCACCTGTGTCCCTTTCTGTTTTTACTTGGGAGGCAGATCTGGGGCTTTCTTCAGGAGCATGGGAAGGACTATAGGGTTGGCACCAGTAGTAGCCTGAGTAATAGGCAAGGTAATTCAGCAGGTCTAGGAACAGGAGGCAGTTTCTAGGAGCTGGGGTAGCAAAGTAGAAAGCCATAAACAGAGGTCAGAATCACTGCCACCCCAGACAACTTGTAGGTCAAACAATGAGCCTGTTGTACTGCAGCCTGTGGCTGCAAGGGACCAATTGCCTGCCCTGGTCACTTTCCCAGTTTCTTCCAACCAGTGCTTCTGGGCTAAGCCTTGGGGTGACTGCAGCCTTCGCAATATAAAAGGGAAGACCTCCACCCACACACACTGTGGGGCCCACAATCCCCAACCCCAGAACAGAAAGGAGAAGAACTGAGATCCAGCCTGTGAGCATCTCAGCTAAGTTTGGGAGGGTGGAGGCTACAAAGGGAAAGCTCTGCCCAAGATCTCTGAGCTGCAGGCTGGGGACAAACTGTTAAATTGGGATAATGTCTGCCATGTTTCAGATGAGGAACAATTGCTTAAGCAACTGGGGCATGGCAGGGAAGCCATGGTGGGGAATGCAGAGGGGCAGGAGAGCGAAGCAAGCTGGTCATAGACATCAGGAAGCAGAGAGAAAACAGGTCATTGGGCCAGTCTTGTTTCCCACTTCCTCCAGAGGCTCTACCTCCTAAGAGTTCAAAACTTTTCAAAGAGGACTACCAGGCTACCACAGTAGCCTGCAGGAATATTCCGCATTCAAACCATTACACAGGCTGAGGCTGCCTCTCAGGCACTGGATCTGGTTAAGTGGAGGCTGACATATTAAAGATGGGGCCGGAGCATTTCTGGATAATGGTAATTGTTTAATAAGAAAACTCTACCTGAGAAACTGCTGGGAAGAAGCCGGGTTGAAATCCTCTATTCACAGAAAACTTAAATTTCTAAGTGAGACACGACACTCTACTTGGGCTAGAGACAGATTCTTGGTGAAAGGCTTGGTGACTCCCCAGATAAGTTGATGGAAGTACCCTCACCCTCAGGCCTGCGAAAGGTATTCCTACTCTGTAGCATCCATGTCCCTTTGCAGAGCCCAGGAGGCCAAGGACTGTTGAGGGAACTGCATCTGGAACAGAGTCCCCGAATTGGGGCAGTCTGTACCTTAACCAGGAAAACCTCAACGTATGTGTTTCTCTTGTTCATCAGTCAAGGTGGCACCTCACCTCCTCCCCACCTCCTTCCTTGTCTACACTTCTAAGATGATGCCTTCCGCACCCTCTACTCCTGTCTTCTATCCCCATCTACACATATATGAAGACAGGGTCTTACCATGCAGCCCAGGCTGGCCTAGGAACTAATGCTACTCCAACTTCAGCCTCTCAAGTGCTGGGAGTACAGATGTGTGCCATGACACCTGGGTTTCCTAGGCTTTTGTCACATTCTAGCTCTTTCTGCTGCTCTCACCTGACCCTCAACGCTGCCTGGCTTACTCTGGAACCGGTAGCCTCCTCCCGCCTGCTCTAACCTCCCATGGGCTTCTGTTCCCAGCCTCACTGCACAGCACAAATCACACTCTCAAGTGATGTGATGTTGACAGAGGCAAGGCAGGTCTCGGGAAACCTATAGCCAACCTGAAGCCAAGCCTCAGGCAGGAGGTGTCCCCGGTTTCCCGCTTCATGTCCCCAGGGAGTATCCCTGGTCACACATAGCTTCTGGGTTCCACCTTCCCTCCAGTTTCCTCTTCAGAGTTCTCCCACTGTGTCCCCATCCCCATTTTCCCCTTAGTGCTGGCAGGAGCTGTGTTTTCAGTAACTGTCAGGGGTGTCTAGTTGCCTGATCCACAAAATGAATGGAAATTGCCTGGTCCAGTGAAATGAAACTCACATAATATGCGAAGAGAGTTGTCTAGTCAATTTTGCTAAGAACTTAAACTCTTTTTTAGAAATCAGTAGGTAAGAGGAAAGATGACAAAGACTAAGACTAAAGCTGGGCATGGTGGCATACAGCCATAATCCAAGCATTTGGGAGGGTCAGCTGGGCTCCATGGGACCCTGTCTCCAAACGAGGCAAAACAAACCAACCAACCAACTAAACAAACAAACAAGCAAAAAAACCCCAAAAAACCAAAAACCAGGAATGACCCTGTGACCTCATACCTCATGGCTTTAGCCTTAGCTCCCTCTTCTCTGTATGGAAGGAGGGTCATTGACAAGGCCTGGGTGGCGTCCTGGGGTATCCAGAGACACCCGTAATAAAGGTAATTCTCCTTGCAGATGGCGTGGATTTCACAATGATTCGCCTGGTGAATGGCTCTGGGCCACATGAGGGCCGAGTGGAAGTGTACCATGATCGTCGCTGGGGCACAGTGTGTGATGATGGCTGGGACAGGAAGGATGGGACCGTCGTGTGCCGCATGCTGGGCTTCCATGGTGTTGAGGAGGTGTACCGGACAGCTCGCTTTGGGCAAGGTAAGGATAGTAAGGTACGGTACAGATGGGATGATATGGAAGAAAGCCATAGATTCTAGGACAAGCCTTTTCCCTCAAAGCCCATGTAACCTTCATGTAATCTAGCCAACTATCCCTCACTCCTGTTCTCAGTACATACCTCATACTTATAAACACTTCCTTCCTATAGACCTTGAACAGACAGAAACCTGGGTAGACTTGAACCCAAAATGATAGTTTCCAGTGCGTGGGTCAGATCTCTTGCCTGTTTAGTTCTGTGCATCTTGTTCCTCAGCTGTGTGCACTTGGGTCTGGCCTCTCTGTACTCTGTGTCTCAGTGTGCTTGTCTGGGAAAGAAGCCTACAGATTCTGGGATGCTTTCCAGCCTGGGCCCCTGAGGTCTAAGATGCTGCCACTCAACTGTCATGAACAGTATGCAGGGGACTAGGATTTGGGTTGATTGTATCACACACAGCTGCTGGGTGTGTCTGGTGACCTGTGAGTGGAACTAGTAAGGTGCCAGGCAAGCTCACCATCTTGCCCAAGGCTGAAGTTTTCCATTCCTCTGAGCTAAAGTAGTTACAAGGACTTGTAGTGTTGCATGAGGAGAGTAGGTGGGTGACTTGTCCTCTGCTAAATGGATTGTCCTTGAAGGTCCCCCACTCCTCACAACCACCTAGCTTTTCATTCTGTGATAAGCTGCTGAAGTTCTTGCTCTGCAGGTCATCTATAGAGCCCAGGCACATATTGGCTCTTGGGATCACCTGATGAGCAAGCACCAGTTCAACACTCCCACATCAGGACCACTCTACTTTCCTCCTCCTCCTGCTCCTTCTCTTCTCCCTCCTCCTCCACCTCTTCCTCCTCCTACTCTTTTTCCTCTTCCTCCTCCTTCTCTTCTTCCTCTTCCCCCTCCTTCTCCCTCATCCCTTCTTGCACTCTGCAGGCTGTCCATGGAGCTCATCTATACACCTGGGGCTTTACTCATCATTGGGGTCTTCTCTCTGTCCTAGAATGTGCCCCTGAGCCTCAGACCCCTCGGTGTCCAGTTATTTCCCAGACAGCTCCACTCAGATACTTCATACACCTATCAAACGGACCACACTTTCTTCCTGTCAACTCCTTTACCTCTGTCAGGCCCACAGCACCATTTTCTGTTAGACTTCATGTAAACCAGACCCTGGGGGCTTTGGCCCTATCACTGATTCCTTATGGGTCCCATCCCCAAGTCTTACAGATTCTACCAGTGTCCACCCTTCCGGGATCTTTTAAATCTGCCTCCTCCTCACTGCCTCACCTTCAACAGTATTCATCAGAGCAGAGGAGTGGTTAGGATGGAAACTCTGGAGTCAGAATCCTGGGCTTAAATGCGATGACATCCTTGAGCACATTTCCTAACCTCTCTGAGCGCCAGCAATTTCTCTTCTAAGGACAGGTTGCTGATGTTAGATGATGTGTGCACAAAGCTGTCAGCATGGTGCATGCATCATTGTTCATCTCTGTCTACTATTCTATTGAGTGAAGATGGCTGTCATTCCAAGGGGCCTGATAGTAGCTCTGAGCTTTTATGAGCTGCTGTCACTTGGACAGTCTCACCACAACTTACAGGTTAGTTCCTGAGCTTGCCTTTTCTAGCTGCCAGCAATCTGCCTAAGATGAGTGAGTGCGTGTGTTAACATATTCCTGAATTTTCAGTGGGCCCTTATTGCTCTTGGGATCAAATTAGCTTCCCTTGGTTCAGCAACAAAGCTTCTTTTTAACTCCTCCTCCACTGATTTTTGAGACAGAGTCTCACTATATGGATCGCTCAGGCTGACCTTGGGCTCACTATACATCTCAGGATCCTCTCTAACAAGCAATCCTGCTTCAGCTCCCGCAGCTGAAGGGATTTCAAGTATGCACCACTACCAACCACCAAGTCCCGACCAAAGCCCTTCTTACGCCACCCCCTACCACCCTCCACCGGGTGCTTCTATCACAGGTGTCTACTGTGTTTCTCAGAGACCCCAAGCTGCTGTTTCCTGTCAGCCTGTCTCTGCATGTCAGCTTTCCCCCTCAGCTCTAAAAGTCAGCTCAGTTCTGTCTCCTGGAAGGAACTTTCCAAGCCCTCCGGCACCTCAGCTCATGATGAACACACACATTAGCTCCTGGGGCACACTCCCCATGTCTCTGCCCCCTGTGCTGTCACTGGTGTGTTCTAAAACACAGAAGAGTGCTGAGTGGAGAGCAGGTCCTCGGACTATTGGTTTGATGAGGAATGGTCACCTTCAACCTAGTGCTCTGAGACAACCCCGGGCTGTAGTCTCAATCTCACCCCATGGTAAAAGAGCACCTGTTGCATTGTGCTGAGCCCTTTGACCCTTTATTGTGAACCTCAAGAGAAACAGCCTTGGAGTGGACCTAGCCTGAGAAGGGTTCCTCAGACCTACATAGATCCCTGGATGACCCAGGGAAAGATGAAGTCCTAACAAGTTCCCAGGCTAGTCCTGGGGCCTCACCTTGTGTAGCCAGAGGACAGCTCTAAGGCCAGGTGACAATGAGTACCTGGAATCTTCAGAGCTGGCTCCTGTGATATGGGGTGAGGGGCACAGATGTTTGCTGCTTCTTAGCACTGCCCCACATGCTTGTTAGAGCTGCAGTTTGGGGTTTGCTCCTGAGATGACCCTGCTTCGAGTGTATGGACCTGGGCTTCCAGTGTCCACATCCTGCAAATGCATTTGAGATGGGCAGCCATGGGCCTGTTCTTTATTTGTTAGGTCCCTTTATTTGCTTTGGGTGTGACTAATCCCACAGAGCTCTTGGGCCTGCCGCCTTTTCCTGGGTAATTTGTGAAGTGATGTGTTTTCCAAGAGACATTTAATCTTCGAGTTATTGCTGTGCCTCAAAGAGCTTTATTGTGTAAGAGCCAGAGAGAGGCTCTGGTGAAGACAGGGCCCAAGCAGATGGCAAAAGGAGGCCTCTACTCCTTGTTCTGTTCCTGATTCACTGCATGGCAACCCTGTGATAGAGGACATGAAGACTCTCCATGGAACATGTCTAAGAAGCTTAATTCATACAGTTGGTTTAGTCAATAGCACTGTGGCTTAGATAGTCCCTTGAGCCTCTTTGTAAAGGGATGTCAGGGGCCAATCTAGAATGAATGACAGAGCTGAAGGTTTTCACAGTCTCAATGATTCCACTAAAAAGAGAGGGATCGTCTGGCTGTCGGGAAGGATACAGTGTAGAGGGCAGTTATGAGCCTAATCCCTGAGCTACCTCTCCTATCGGCTTCCATGGATACCAAAGCCCTTTCCAATACAGAAACATCTTGCTGACTAATATGGGATGACAGCCAGCAATACAGGAACCTCAGTTAAAACCCTCAACTTTGTGCTTTATGCTCCTCTGTTGTGTTTATTGTTTTGTTTTTTAATTATTGTGACTAAAATGCCATACATAACCAACTCAAGGAAGGAAAGAATTGTTTTAGCACATGGTTTCCGAGAGTTGCAGCCCTTCCATGTACGGAAGGAATGATGACAGCCGCTGCTAGTGATAGTGGGAAATGGTCCCCCTTCCATTCTGGACAACAGAAATCAGGCTGGAACCAGGGGGTGTATATAACTCTCAAAGCTTTAGTGATCTACTTCCTTTTGCTAAATAGCCCCCACCCCTTAAAGATTCTACAGGAAAAGGAAGCAGGTGCTTAAAATATGACCCTGGGAGGGAGGGAGGCGCTTCAGCGTCAAACTACACATCATAGACCTAACAAGTAAGGGTGCTGGGGTGACCAGCAGGCCAGTTTTGCCCAGGACTTACCAGCGCTCATAGGAAAAGTCACATGCTGAAATACTCTTCCCACCATGAAATGCATCCTTGCCATGGTGCTGAGCCCTGGGTTGAGGCATGCTGCATGACACCGCCTTTTGCTACTGTCGTCAAGGCTTATGAAGTAACAGAGTTCAGCCTCTGTTAAAATGCAGGTTCTGCCCTAGCAGGATAGGGCGGGACCTGTGGCTCTACATATCTTCCAAGCTCTGGTGATGTAAGCACTGGCAGTCCAAGGCCCCACTTTGGGTAGCAGAATTACTACTTCCATGGGGGTCATGAAGTTAGTCATCCTTCTAGAAGGCTACCAGCATCCAGAGCTGGGCATAGCCATCAACATAAAGAGCCCACCAGCAACTCCCAGTCCCCTGCTGCCCAGCTCTTCAGTAGGAGTGCAGGGTAATGGCACACCCTGCTTCATTCTCCTCCATAGACTTCTAGGAAAGTCCTCTATTTGCTCTGGAAGGTTATCCCAGGTGCCCTAACTTATTATTCATAGAACAATATCAACGCCAAGTTCACACCATTCAGTGGTCTGATGCTCTTCTGTGACAGCCCATTAAAGCTTCAGGTTCTGCATATGTGGTCACCTTCAGACCAGCACACTGACCCATTACAGCTGGCTGGACAAGGCTAGCTGCAAGTCTTAGGGACTGTGTTTAAGGGACTTAACCTAATGATCTAATGGGTTGAGGATGTCTGACCACAATGTCATATTTGGGGATTCTTTATCTTCCTGGAATTATGGTCTTGGGCTCACAGAATGAGACCATGAAGCAATGATGATGCTAACAAATTCAGTTCTAGGTCACTGGATAATCCAGAAGTCCAGCTGCCTGACATTACCCTTCTGATAAGGCCTTGTATCCAGATAGTGTAGCTCAGTGTCAGGACAAGTCAGTCATTAAATGTGAGCCTGGGGATAAGAGGGTGGGTAGCAAGATTTTGGTTGGAAATTAGACTCTGCCAGTTATAAGCTGTGTAATCCGGTACCATTTGCTCTCTGAGCCTAAGTTTTTGCACTTACAGAATTCGTTTCTTACTATCTACCCCACAGTATAATAGTAAGGACTTCAGAGGCTCATGTCTGTAAGAGGCCTGATTCATAGAGATGCAAACACTAATATCATCTCTTAGTGTTACTCTACCTATAGGAAGCTAAGCCTGATTCATAGAGATGCAAACACTAATATCATCTCTTAGTGTTACTCTACCTATAGGAAGCTAAGCCTATTATATAGGTAGATACATTCTCCGGAGAGCAGAGAGGGGAAGTGCCTGCAGGGACAGCCAGGCCATGGTCATGTCATTTACAGGCACATTCCCTGTTTTCCTTCTTTCTACTTCCCAAATCACTGCTAAGAAGTGTGTGTGTCTCTCTTCACAGGCACCGGGCGGATTTGGATGGATGATGTGAACTGCAAGGGAACTGAGCTTTCCATCTTCCACTGCCAATTCGCCAAATGGGGAGTGACAAACTGTGGGCATGCTGAGGATGCTGGAGTGACTTGTACTGCATTCTGAAAGTAGGCGCAGCCCAAAGCCAGGGCAGTGCCATGACCACATTCCTGTGTCTCTGGGGTAGGAGGATTGCTTGGAGCTACCTAACCATGGCTCATGACCAGTCCAACACCACCCCCAACCCTGCTGCCAATTGACCCTACTCTGGATGCAAGGTGACCTGCTGTCACTCTCCTTCCAGACAACTCCAAAGTGCTCAGTGGGACCTACGTTCTGTCTTTCCTTTCCACCAGCTGAACCACCTGTATGCTCAACTATCTGAAGACTCTCCACAAGGCCTACACATCTATGTTACAGGCAGTCTCTTGGTTACAGCTGGATGCTGATATGATGTCATAGGCAAGAGCAGCTATGGAGGTGGTTGGGAGGTATTATGAGTCACTCGATTTGCAGATAAGTCCTAAATTCCAGAGTTTCACTATCCATCTCTCCAGCAAGCAGAAACTCATAATGACTCTGTTTCCCATCTTTTCCTCTGCCTCTCCACACTATGTTAGTTTGAGGAAGGGGCAGAGAAGAAGCCAGATATAGGAGACATAAGAAAATGCCAGTTACCCCAAGAAACCTGGCTGGAGCTGGGAAGAGAGGGGAATAACTATTGTGCTGTGCTCCAAAGTCTCTTGGGTGCTGAAGTCACTTAACCACTTTGCTGTGTTAATACCGGGCTTGTCAATCAGGGCAGAACCCTGCCTCCAGGTAGTGCTTACCTGGCCAATTCATCTGGCTTCCAAGTTAGAAGACCAAGAATGACCAAGACTGAGACCAGGCTCCTCCATGAAAGTTGGTGTATATAGCAAGTACATGTGTAGATCAGACAGGATGGGTTTCTAAGTCAAACTTCCACACGGGAAGGCTGATTTGGAGGGTGTCATGGGAGCTATCCACATTAACCTGAGGTCATCAGTCATCAGAGGCTGTGTCTCAGGACAGTTGGTGACGTTGTACCATCCAGACCTCTTTAAATATAATCCTGTGGTCAGAAGAAAATAGACTTGATAAGTCCCCCAAGGGTAGAAGTATGAATTCCCTATCACCTTCCCTGGGCAATGAGTTGCCTTGGGCGACTTCAAACCTGTGAGCTGCACCCCACATGTTCTGCTGTTAACACGAGGAGGCTGAACTAGATGGTACAAGTGTTGTAGAATTGGGGGAGCTACAGTATAGCAATTGAAGGCAGACCTGTCTGGCTACAGTAGAGTTACAAACACAAGCACATGGCCTATGAGATGAGCATTATCTTGCTTAGGGTGAGGAAGACCCAGGTACCTCCAGGTGTAGTTTCCCCCCAAAGATCCTGGCTGGCTACTATACCAATATGTGGTTTTGATCATTCTTGCTTGCAATATGTGTTACTCACTACTGTTCTCATGATCTGACCAACTGTTATGTTTACATAACATGCATGTACTCATGCATCTTCTTCCAGAGCCAATGTATGTATACCTGTATAAGCGTAGTGCCCTCTATTACATAGCTCAGCACATCACAATGGTTATGTTTTAAAAGATATGGTAAAGGTTGTTATTTTTCAAAAAAAGATATTTTAAGAGTATGTAAACATCATGTTGATAATTCTGGGAAAGAACGCTGTTACCCAATGGTGATGACTCTGGTAACTTCCTTAGTCCTTACATGGGGGAAACACAAGTTTGGTTTTATATCTATAAAAACGATGTTGAAAAGTATTTTAAACATAAAAAAGTCGACTAGTTTACAGACCTACCTATGAGGACATGGAAATGACCGTGGACTGTATTTCAGGGACTAATGGAAACTAGGCCTAAAATACTTCAGACCTTTTGTAAGAATGAATTTCAATAAAGCAAACATTTGGAAAAGATGTTGTATTAGTCTGGGTTCTCTAGAGTCAAAGAAATTACAGAATGAATCTCCCTCTTTCTCTCTCGATAGATAGATAGATAGATGATAGATAGATAGATAGATAGATAGATAGATAGATAGATAGGAATTTATTGGAATGACTTACAGGCTGCAGCCCAACTATGGTTACTAATGAATGGAAAGTCCAAGAATCTAGTAGCTGTTCAGTCCTACAAGGCTGGATGTCTCAGCTTGTCTGCTGGGATTCCAAAGAAGGAAATAAATGTTCTGACAGAGGTGAGGACAAGCAGGTGAAGAACACCCTTCCTTCTACCATTGTCCCAATATAGTATTCCAACAGAAGGTGTGACCCAGATTAATGGTGTGCCTTCCAGTTTCAAGGTCTGGATTAAAGGCATGTGTCATCCAGCCTCCAGATCTGGATCAAAGGCATGTTGTCTTCCTGCCTCAAGATCTGTATCACAAGTGTACCCTCCATTTCTGGATTATAGTTCATTCCAGATATGGTCAAGCTGACAACTAGGAATAGCCACCACAGTGGTCCATCTTATTCTTTTTCATGAAAAGCCAGGGAGTGTGGAGAAGGCGATCTGATTATTTTCCATGGAGGGTTGTCAGCATGGTTGTACATTAAAAGACTCCTCCATGCTTCCAGAAGACATTCAACACACACGTCTAGACTGATAGAATACCTAGTCTGTTTTCTGTTGCTGTAACAGAGTATCTGAGATAAGGTATATTTATAAAAACAAGAGGTTTACCTCTCTACTAAAAGCCCCAAACTGGGCAGCCATATCTGGCAAGGGATTCATGTTGCTTCAACTCATGGCAAAAGGAAGATGACACATGGGTCTGTGCCACCGAGACCAAGCATGGGGACAGGCTTGCTTTGGAACAAACCTGAACCACCATCACTAAATTGGTCCTGTGAAAAGGGAGTTTCTGGGAAGAAAGACACTTGTCCATGCATGAGGACTCCATCCCTGTTACCCAGACACCTCCCCAAACTGCCACATTGAGGAGTCAAGGTTCCAACACATGCATGTGTGTAGGACACACTCAAATCACAGCAGAACCATGGTGTTTACCCCCATTTGGTGGTCGCCAAAGAAAACAGGTTCCAAGCAGCAGAACAGCCCTCAGGGCCCATTCATGACAGGGTGGTTTTGAACTTTACTTGGTCTCAGCCAAAGGGAAGTGTTTGTGTTTGTACCTGACAAAGGAAAGGTGTCATAGCCCCTGTTCTATATCTGTGAAGAGACACCACAATCACTGTTGCGTCTGCACGGCCTGGGACCAAGATTGGCAGAGGGTGTCGGGATTCAAACACTTAACAGACCACCATGAGAAGTTAAGAAGAAGCTGCTGCCACTGTTTATTACAGAGAGTAATGGGCTTATATACCCAAGCCAGGAGATGGGCTGAGCATAGGAGGAAGTCATGCACCACCCACACCTGGGGTCAAGGCATACCTGCACTGTCCACCGGAAAGTTTTGAAAACAACCTTGTTTGCTCAACCTTGTTTGCATAGAAGTTCTACAGCTGGGTGGGGAGGAAGAGAGCTGTGAGGGACAGGTACTTAAATTTCCCAACAAATCATAGCAGCTCTTATAAAGAAAAGCATTTCATTGGAGCTGGCTTACGGTACAGAGATTTAGTCCACTATCTCACGAAGGGAAGCATGGCGGTGTGCAGGCGGACATGGTGCTGGAGCCATACCTGAGAGTTTCACGTCTGGATTGGCAGGCAGCAGGAAAAGAGAGGCATTGGGTCTGACTTGGGCTCTTGAAACCCCAAAGCCCACCCCCAGTGACACACGTCCTCCAACAAGACAAACCCACCCGTACTCAAACAAAGCAACACATCCCAATCTTTTGAAATAGTGCCATTCCCTATGAGCCTATTGGGGGCCATTTTCATTCGAACCACCACAACCAAAGGACATCTGCGCTTTAATTCCCACCTCTAGAATTCCACCTGGGAACATGCTTCCTTTGGGATACCAATGGATGCAGCCCAGTTAGGTACTGAGTGTGCAGTTCCTGGGCCCTATCATCTAAAGATGGGTAGGGGTGTTCCAGGCACAGAACCACAGCAGCCTGTGAGGGAAGGTCTGAGCACCACAGTCCTGTAGCAGGCTTTATTTTGGGCTACCAATCAGCTCCCAAATCATGACATGAAGACATTATTAGTTTTGAATTCTCAGCCTTAGCTTATGCCATTTCTTGCTAGCTTTTCTTTCTTTAATTTTTTTTCTTATTTTACATATCAATCCCAGTTCCCTCTCCTTCCCATCCTCCGTTGCCCTCCCCACCCCCTATCCCATTCCCCATCCACTCCCTAAAGAGGATGAAGCCCTCCATGAGGGATCATCAAAGTCTGTCACATCACTTGGAGTAGGGCCTAGTGTCTCCAGGCTAAGGGAGTATTCCTCCATGGGGAATGGGCTCCCAAAGTCTGTTCCTGAACTAGGGATACATCCTGGATCCATTGTCAGAGGTACCATAGACTTCCCAGGCCTCCTAACTAACACCCATGTTCAGGGGGGCTGGGTCTGTCTTATAATGGTTTCCCAGCTGTCAGTCTGGGGTACATGAGCTCCCCCTTGATCAGGTCAGCTGCCTCTGTGGGTTTCTGTAGCCTGGTCTTGACACCTTTACTCATCACTTCTCCCTCTGTGCAACTGTATTCCAGGAGTTCGGTTCAGTGTTTTGCTGTGTGTGTCTGTTTCTTCTTCCATCAGCTACTGGATGAAGGCTCTAGGATGGCATATAAGGTAGTCATCAATCTCATTATCAGGGAAGGGCATTTAATGTAGCCTTTCCACTATTGCTTAGATTGTTAGTTGGGGTCATCCTTGTAGGTCTCTGGACATTTCCCTAGTGCAAGATTTCTCTTTAAACCTGTAATGGTTTAACCTGTTTCTTTTCATCTACATTTTGCCTCAGGGATTTTTACCTTTCTGCATGTTCTACTCTGTGTCTGCTGGCTGGTAGCTGCCTGGTTGGCCCTGGGAATCTCCTCTCTTTCTCCCTCTTCTTCTCCTTTCTTTTTCTTCCTCTCCCTCTCTCTCTTCCTCTCTCTCATCTAGATTTCTCCTCCTGCTTATTCTCTATCCCTCTTCAGCCTAGCTATTGGCCATTCAGGTTTTTATTAGACCAATCATGTGCCTTAGGCAGTCAAGATGAAACAGCAACACATTTGCATAATTAAACAAATGTAACATACCTTTACACAGTTAAAATAATAGTCTGCATCATAAATAAAAGTAACACATCTTTGCCTAGTTAAAGTAATATTCCACAACATAATCCTGCCCAGATGCTCGTGGTAGCAGCTCCGGGAAGTCCTCACACCCTGAGTTTGCTGTGGGCCACTGCACTGTGCTAAAACACAACAGAGGTTTCTGGAAATCCATCAAGGAACTACCCTTTCCTCCTCTTTCCAAAGGCCTGAAAGTTAGCCTGCCCTCTATTTATGTCAGAGTAATTCTGGCTGTGTAAATCAGGGCCCTGCA